GGTTGCCTCAGGCAGAGTCGAGATGGTTGCCTAAGGCAGAGTCGAGATGGTTGCCTCTGGCAGAGTCGAGATGTTGTCTTAAAGCTGAAAGCTTCACTTTTCCTCTTTTGGTGATTTTTGTCCATTTCTCTCTTTGTTTCCAGTGAAGTTCCCAGACGGCCGCATTCGCCTCTACTGTAAGGGAGCCGATACGGTGATCTACGAGCGACTCTCCCCAGACACCAGACACAAGGACTCCACCCAGGAGGCCCTGAATGTGAGCTCACATCCCGTCAGCCGTCAAGCGGCCTGATGGAGGGAAACTGAAGCGTTTCTCTTTCTGTCCTGCAGATCTTTGCTAATGACACGCTGAGGACACTCTGTCTCTGTTACAAAGACATCAGCGTCAGCGAGTTCGAGGCCTGGTCCCGGAGACACAAGGAGGCCCAGGTCAACATGGTGGACAGAGAAGCTGCCCTGGACCGTGTTTCTGAGGAGATCGAGAAGGACCTGATGGTGGGCAGAGAGACTTCTGCTTTTAAAAACATGTTTGGTTCAAAGTTCTTTAGGCTGAATTCCAATTCTTCATCTTCAGCTGATTGGAGCCACCGCCATAGAGGACAAACTTCAGGATGGCGTTCCAGAGACCATCGCCAACCTGGCCAAAGCTGACATCAAGATCTGGGTCCTGACCGGCGATAAGAAAGGTTAGTCCTCCGTGGGCTGCAGAGGCGGAGCTTCTCTGAGACTGAAACCATCAACGTTCTGCTCTTCCCCTCAGAGACGGCAGAGAACATCGGCTTCTCCTGTAAACTGCTGACCGATGACATGCAGATCCATTACGGAGAAGATGTGAAGTGAGTTGATTCAAACCCTGGAGATTCTCCGCTGGGAAGAAACGTCCAGGAAACCGTGTCTGTCTGTCTGTCTGCAGTGAAAAGCTGAGGATCCGTCAGGACACAAGAAGAAACGAACCTCCATCATCATTTCGACCCGGAAAGAAGAAGACCTTGGAGCCGTTCTTCCCTGGATCTGGAAAAAACGCCCTGATCATCACCGGAGGATGGCTGGTTAGATCATTTGGTTTGCTCTTTTAGCGCTAACCTAAAAGTTCCCATCCCTACATCAGAGCGCTACCTGTTGGATCTATGAACGGTTTTCTATTGTTGCAACCAAACTAGCAGCAGTAGTGGAGTTTGGAGATGCAATCTACTTCTTAAATCTATCTTTACGCTCCTCTAATTTATTTATTTAGCCTTCCCTGGAAAAGCCTTCCTAATGACTCTTTTTATTACTTGATAACTTCTCCTTCCAAAGCAAACATGCAGGAAATCCTTCCTCATTGGTAATGAAAGAAAACGATTCGCTCCATCCTTCTCCGATTCTCTGTTCTCATCAAATATCTTCCTTTTTTCCCTTTGGCCTCCATGGCCTGAGACGCACCCGCCGCTTTGTTTACATCAGCCACCTGCCCGGCGCTGCGCTGCATCGCGCCGCGCTGAAACCTGCTGCAGGATATGAAAATGTTCACATTTACCGTTTAAACACTTTTTAAAGCTTTGGAAAGATAGATTTTGACGTGCACTGCACACCATTTAAAACAACCAAAAAAATCCTTTTTCTTTTTTCGTACATTTATGAAAAAGCTCCATGTAGCCACAAGGGGGTGCTAAAGAGCAGAGGGTCGCTAACCCCTGATCTAGATCACAGCATTCAGCTTGGGGGGCCCTGTTAGTGGTTCCCTGGGTCGGCCCAGTTCGTTAGTGGTAGGAGAACCAGATGAAGCCGTCCTCTTAATTTACATTTTTGTTTTTTGTTCTTTTTAGAACGAGATTCTTTATGAGAAAAAGAAGAAACGCCGCCGTCTTCGTCTTCGCCGTTTAGGAAAGAGACAAAGTCCCAGCAACCCTCAGGATCCAATGAACGACACGGAGAAGGAAATGAGACAGGTAAGCCCGGCATCTGTGGCGCCCTCTGCCGCCGCCGCTCCTCTTCACGGACGTTTTTTAATCTGCAGTTGGACTTCGTGGACATGGCCTGCGAGTGTGAAGCCGTGATCTGCTGCCGCGTCACGCCCAAACAAAAGGCCAACGTGGTGAGTTTGGTGAAGAAGTACAAGAAGGCCGTGACGCTGTCCATCGGAGACGGAGCCAATGACGTCAACATGATCAAAAGTAAGAAAGCGGCGGTCTGGCGTTTCCCTCGGCGCCCGAACATCCCGCCTCATCGTCTGTTGTCTCTGCAGCTGCGGACATCGGCGTGGGCATCAGCGGTCAGGAGGGGATGCAGGCTGTCATGTCCAGCGACTACGCCTTCGCCCAGTTCCGTTACCTGCAGCGCCTCCTGCTGGTGCACGGCCGCTGGTCCTACATCCGGATGTGCAAGTTTCTGCGTTTCTTCTTCTTCAAGAACTTTGCCTTCACTCTGGTCCATTTCTGGTACTCCTTCTTCAGCGGATACTCCTCTCAGGTCAGCAGTCGCCCCATACAATGATCTCTAAGGTCAAAGGTCGTGTTTCTCTCGATGTTTGATCAAGATGAAAAGGAAGTAGCTGATTTCCTCATAGAGACGCTGCTGATACCTGAAGTCTAGCCAGCAGAGCTCTGCTCGTCGTTTCTGCTCATGCATGTAGAAAGTTGGTCCTTCAGCGCTGAGCGGTTCCCAGAGTGGAACCTAAAAAAGATTGACTGTGTGGAAAGAAAACGTCCAGCGTTGAGACCTGCTGCCTCCCTCCTTCCCTGCAGGTGGCGTATGAGGACTGGTTCATCACGCTCTACAATCTGGCGTACAGCAGTTTACCGGTTCTCCTCGTCGGACTCCTGGATCAGGTAAGTCTTTCTGGTTCTGTTCTGTGGGTCACTAGTTTGGGAACCTTTGGTCCAGAACAGACCAAACATTAACCTGGTTTTCAACCAGTATGTCTGAAAATGGGCCTCTGGTTCTAGAAGTTCACTGGTTAGAGCTGCTGTTCAGGTCGGCCATCAGGCTGACCTACATGCAGCGTCTCCATAACGACAATCACAGCAGTAGAATCCCTGCAGGCTGCTTATTGGTTATTAAACGTACTCCGGTTTGTTCTGACCTGCAGGACGTGAACGACAGACTCAGCCTGAAAGTTCCCCGCCTCTACATCCCCGGTCAGCTTGGAGAGCTCTTCAACTTCAAGAAGTTCTTCATCAGCCTTTTCCACGGCATCTTCGTCTCCCTCATCATCTTCTTCATCCCGTACGGAGCCTTCCTGCAGACCATGGGTCAGGATGGGGAGGCGCCCTCCGACTACCAGTCCTTCGCCGTGGTCACCGCATCGTCTCTGATCTTCACCGTAAACCTGCAGGTGAGACGATTCGACTCGGTTCTGCTCTGAGTGGGTGGATGTTCTCTCCTTTAGTGTGTCCAGACTGAGCAATAATCTTCATCATCATAAGCAAACCTTCATCAAAGCCACAGAGTGGTCTGCAGGTTTACTAAACTTGCTAAAATGCCACATTTGATGCAGAAATAATCCAGATTAAAAGCATTGGTCCAGCTCAGGTTCTGATGAGTTCCTCCTCCTCCTCCTCCCTCCAGATCTCTCTGGACACGTCCTATTGGACCTTCGTGACCTTCTTCGCCGTGTTGGGCAGCATCGCCATCTACTTCGGGATCATGTTCGACATCCACAGCGCCGGAATCCACGTCATCTTCCCCTCGGTGTTTACCTTCACAGGTAGCTTCCTCCGCCATAGGTGGGTTTAATGTTCCATAAGATGGATGAGTGAGGAAATGTTTGCCTGCAGGCGCGGCGTCCAACGCTCTGAGACAGCCCTACCTGTGGCTGACCATCGTCCTGACGGTGGGGATCAGTCTGCTGCCCGTCGTCTGCATCCAGTTCCTCCATAAAACCATCTGGCCCTCCATTGGAGACAAGGTCAGACCGCCGCCTCAGATCTTCTGAGGAACGCCACCGATCCGATTTATTTCACATTCTGTAGTTTATTTTGCGACACTTCCTCGATGTTTTCTTCTGTCACTGCAGGTCCAGAGGAACCGGAAGAAGTACGAGATGCAGATGGAGGAGGAGGACAAGAAGAAGCAGCCCTCGGCGTTCCAGCGAGGCCGGGCTTCCCGTCGCTCCGCCTACGCCTTCTCCCACACGCCCGGCTACGCCAACCTCATCTCCTCCGGACAGAGCATCCGCCGCCGCCAGACGGCACACGGAGGAAACACCGAGAGGAGGCCGTCCCCCCGGAGACGGGCGGAAAACATCTGAGTGGAGCAGGAACCGCGGGAAGGCCTTCTGACCCCGCCTCTGGGGGGCGGAGCCCTCCTGCTAAACTTTGCTCCTTTTAGGCACAAACTGATGACTTGAAACGCTCACCGAAGAGACGCCGCCGCCACGCGGCCTGATGTCACCTTTGTGACTGACAATGTTGTTTAACTCAGGATTATTTTAAATGCCTTATTTTTAGCCAGCAGTGCGACTGACGGGAAGCTGTTAGCGCTGTTAGCGCTGTTAGCGCGTAGCCTTTAGCAGTTTTAGCTCACATCCACGAAGCACTTCCTCATAAATTCCAACCAAGTTCTGCTGTGATTCCCAAACGTTTCCCTTCCTGTGACGCCGCCATGACAGGCTGAACGTTTTCTTCTGCTTTTATTCTCTAGTGGATGTTTTCTACGCCAGACTCAGCCGCCGCTTCTTACAAAGTCTTTTAATTTAAATTAGCTGTAAATCCACTTTCTTTCCTGTCATGGACGGTTTTTCCAGGTCTGCTGAAAGACTTTCTAATTGTTTTTCTCCTTAAAAGGCTTTTAAACCTTTTTTCTGGGATCAGTTTGGAGTTTTGGTCTAACCTCATGTTTTATAGCTTTTCTGTAAAGAATTTTATCTTTAATTGATGGATGATGAACTTTGATGCTTCTTAGATTCTTTGAGTTTTTTTTTGTGTATTTCTTAAAAGTTTAATCACATCTTTGTTGACTCAGAAAACATAAGGATCCTTGATTTGTGTGATTATTTACTTGGTGAAGCTGTTGCTGGGTGGATTATTGTTTTTTTTTCCAGGTCTGTCATCATTCGGACCCCATTAAGCCAAAAACTGCTGATGTTCAGGTTCTGTTACTGGATCCTTTATTCACCTTAAAATGTGAACAGAGGTTGTTACGTGATGCTATTTTATCTTTTTCTTGTTAATAAAAGTCAGCGGCACATTTATTGATCTGACTGAGAGTTTTTATTTCCTAAATGATTTATTTCTATATTAGATGTTTCAGAACATTACTTTAGAAGCAGTTTTAACAAAGAGGCCTGGTTTAGATTAGATTAGATTAGATGAGCTTTATTGATCTCAGCGGAGAAATTAACTGGTCACATATTGGCATAGTAATTAAAGGAGGTGGAAACAAGGAGGAAAAGGTGCATTAAGAATAAACAATATATCAAAATAAGGATTAACCTGCAAGTGTACATGTATGGAAAAACAAAATAAAAATAAATAAAAAAAATACAAGGGAGTAACAGATTTCAGCAGTTTAAACCAAGTGTCTGCCGTCCCAGACGGCGCTCACCTTAATGCTACGTTCACATTGAACGCTCTGAGCATCAAAGAAGCTCCTGCTGCTTCATCTCTGATCCTCATTAAGGTCAGACGTCCAGTAAAGTTTCTCCAGATGCTTCTGCTGCTCCTGTGTTCGATGCCAGAGAGCAGCTTTGCTATATTAGCTGTGATCAGCGGGTAGAAAGTAGTTAGAATCTATGTTGAAGTGAGAAAGTCCTCCTGAAAACATGGTCTGTGCAGTCAGTTCATCCAGATTACCATCCTGCCTTCAAAGATTATTTCTCTGTGGGAGCCGCTCAGACCCCCACATACCGGCGCTGCGCTGTCACTGGGAATCCCCAGCAGCAGCTGCCTCAGGCCCGCTCGCCTCTCCAGGGTTTTCCCCTCCTGTTGGTGGCGGCTGGAAGTAGATGTTAGCGTTTTTCAGGTCTGTGCTACAAACTGCTAGCCTGACGTAGTCCGACTCAATTCTAGTCAGAATGAGTCTGATGCTGCTCCATAGAGCTGTGATTATGGGGCGTGTTTCGAACAAACCAGGAAAAAAAATGCCTCTGCACTCAATTGGATAGACCTACAACCAATAAGAGCAACGGAGTGCGTGACGTATGTTAAGCGAGGCATAGTTGTTGTCAACAAAAATCAAAGCGTGCAGTTGCACGCCTAGAATAAGAAGATGAGCCTTGATGGCGTTTCTCTGTTCCTCTTTTAAAATTAATTTGCTGTCGATATCTTCTAGAACAGACCTAATAGCAGAATCTACTCACCTCAACTCTCCAGCGGCAGCCATTGTTGTTGTCACCCAAGCGCGCTTTGGTGACGTGGTTGATTACGTTACTGTTGATCATCTGTCCATCATCGTATAAAGCCCGCCCTGACAATTTGATTGGCCCGCCAGATATTGTGCTAGCATACTCGCGCTACTATTGAGCAATGCCAGACCGAACTTCCCGACCTCAAACCTTGTGGGCGGGACTAAGTTCGGAATGGCACCCAGGCTAACAAACTGCAGGCAGCAGGATAATAAAAGCCAACATATTCTGCCGGCAGGTTTCTACATTTGAAGTTAATTTAGGCGTTAATAAACTGTTTCAGAGGAGTGATCATAGCGCTCTGCATCAGCAGTGCTGCGTCTGACTCCCTGCCAGCTCCCAGATCAGCTTCTCTCATTGGTTGACGTGACGCGTCCAGCTGTAACAGTTTCCAACTCCAGCAGCTGCTGCTTCTTAAGCGCCTCAGATGCCTTTTCCTAAAACTTGACAGTTGACCGTAGCCTTGGCGTGTAAAACGGCTGCTTCTGCTGCCCAAAGGGCGTTAGATGTGAACGTAGCGTCACAGACGTCCGTATGGGATTGAAACGCCTACAGGTCATGCTGTAAGATTAGGACTACAGCCTTCAGGGAAATGCATCATTAATGAAATGGACACCATGGCCCGGGTGTCCCTGACTAGGATCGTACTGATGGGTTTTTTTTGCTGCGATTTTTTTAAAGGGATGATCAAGCTAACAGCTGGCTAGCCCATGTGGCATAGTAGGTGAAGATTCTCAGTCATCCAGGTCATTGTCGTTCAAAAAACTGGACTTTATTTCCAAGTTTGAAGACGTTTCTCTTCCATCCAGGAAGATTTTTCAATTCCAAATGTCAGAAATAGCGTTTAGTTCCAGGTTTTATCCAGCAGCCCAACAAAGCCTGGTTTTAGTTTAGAAACGGTCGGGTTACGAACGACCCAATCCAAGGGGGTGGACCCTTCACCCATCAATAGATGTGTTACGATCTGCCACTTCGTAGCAATAATAGCATTAGCAACTTTTTAAATGAGTTCTCTCTCTGCATTAAATGCTCTGACAGCTGGAAAAAAGCAAACTCGGCGCCGTCCGCCATTTTGTTGGTAATTCTTTATTATTTATCAAATGATCTCTGAGTAGGAGTGGAAAAATTCCGATACAGGCCTGATCTGAGTGTCCAATAGGCTGACCGGATAACTGGACACAAAAAAAACACGTTTTATTCCTACATTAGTCTTCAGATAACCTGAGTCACCATGGCAACGGTAGGACGGAAGCCTCTGATGCCTCCCTGTTCCCCAAGTTCTTTAAAGGAGGCCTTGATTCCTCATTGGTTCCTCTGCCTCTGGGGGCGTGGCTTAAAACTAAAATGTTAAAGGGGCGTGACTAATTTGCATATCTACTATAAAATTTAGATTAAGGATGGGTTTGTTAAATATTTTGTGTGAATATAAAATATAGATCTAGATATAAATTGGAGACAAATATATTTCTACATCCTCGAACCGTGTGGATGTGATGGGGAATGGCGGCCTGGTCTTTAGGGCGTAGAGCTTGGAAGCTTCTGAGTTTGAGTCCAACTCCACAGCCTCCACTCTGGGTCCCTGAGCAAGACCCTTAACCCCACACTGCTCCCCGGGCGCTGCACAATGGCAGCCCTCAGCCCCCCAAGGGGGGAGCGTGAATATCGTTGCTCTGTACTTGTGACAGTGTAATGACAATAAATAACTGGGGGAAAATATTACAACCTGATGTCTTTATTAAAGCTAATTTAAAGAAGAGCGTAAAATATCGACTCTAATTAAATTTCCTGACTGAAATATTTGGATGCCGGTTCTTCCAGAAAAGAATAAACTATTTCCAACTCTTCTCAGCTGAATGAAGGAAGCAGCCGACTCGGCGACTGAGGCGTGTTGTTCGTTATCATGACTTTATTCAGGTTAACTTCTTCCCAGATCTCTGAAACAGAAAGTAACGGATCGACCCCAGAACTAAACGCTTTAACACAGCTGGATTAACGGTCACTGGGGGTCTAGTCAAAGGTTTCTCACCACCAGAGAATCAGAACACATGAATGGGAATGCTTAGCTGCACTTCACTGGAGACATAAAGCTCTCCACCATCAGGGGCCCAATGCCAGGGGCCTCTTAAGATTGCTGTCAGAGGAATCAAAAGAAACACAGGAGCTCTGGAGGAGCTGCAGGATTACCTGGAATAAGCTGATGACCTGCAGGAGCCTCTACTCGCGATCACTGAAGGCTTTGTAAGCTGGTTTGGTTCGTTAAGCCGGGCATCCGCTGTACGAAGTTTCCAATCGTTGCACGCAGCTACGGCTCAAACTGTACGATGAAAATCGCAGGTTTAAAAGTTCCCAGCTCGCGATGTTTGTTCATTCACTGTGCGTCACGCTGCTCTGATGCAATCTACCTGCTCGCACTGTGCATCCAGAAACCACACGTCAGACTCAGCGCAGTGAGATGGCGCTGCTCGCACTCATCAGTCTGAAAGAAGAAGAAGTAGGACTCTCTTGTTAGCACACGGCGGTACTCCAGGTTCTGGTAAATCAGCTCGTCGCTCTGCTTCAACAGCAGGATTTACCACCAGCACCTCAGGACGGCCGACTGAGTTTCAAACCTTTGATTTTCTCCTGACGTTCCGATTCCTGACGGGGAGGTGGTCGTTAGGGGCGGACCCCCCCTTCAAAATGGCGTCAGCATGGAGAAGCTAGCTAGCTATCAGCTACACCTCTTTCTAAATGTATTCTCAGATGCAGCTGCGGTTATTTATTGTCCCTGTCTTGGTTCTTTTCTGTTTCACTTCTATCCATGTTTTCCTTTGTTTTCTAGTTTTATTGGTTTTATTTCTATTTGATTCCTTCTAAAGTTCTTTTTGTTTACACGTGTACAAAAAGACAAAGTAAAATCTGTCTATTTTGTGGTGTTTTCTGGATATATTTGAGTTCTTAGGTGTTTCTTGGTTGCCCTTCTAGCCTCCTCTGTTCCCACCTGCTCCCAATCAGCTCATTAGTCCAGTCTTTGTTCAGTCTCCCATATATACTCTCCCTGTGCCGTTCCTCAGTGCTGCTTCCTCGTCCTTTCCTGGCTCCCCACCTGAGTCTTCTTCTGAAGTCATCTGGTTTTCGGTTACTTGTCTTTTGTTATTTGTTTTTGTGGATTTGTGCTTCAGATATTTCATTAAATCTACAGGACGTCTCCTCTGCATATGGGTCCTTAAAGCCTCAACCAAACCCTGACATTTCTAGAATTTACCTTTCGTTCATTAATACTAACAAAGAAAAATGGTCTCTGTTCGAATTCCTGGGCTGCATCCTCCAAGGACCCGGTCTACCTAGACTGGATCCTTTGGAGTCCTTGAAAATAAGGAGACCGGAATAATTCAATGGTTTGTGACAAAGTTCCAATTTTAATCTAAAGTTCTTTAAAGGAATAGTACACCCAAAACATGATTAGCCTTCATTTTCTACTCACCCCTATGCTGAACAACACTCTGGAGTACTTTTTTGATATCTCAAATGCATCTGGAGATCTGGGAGGCTTCTTGCTGTCTGC